GTTAAAATTCATAAACCTATTAAGCATACACAAATGGAACTAAGAAGGGATGAAACTTTGGAATCTACATAGTTGATTCTGAAGCAGTCTTTGTATTATAAATCTCTTTAGCTTCCTATCTATTTCCTCCCTGCCAGAGCTGTACTTGTCTGTTCTTTGAAGCTTGCAGCACAGCCAAATTGTTATGATTAAGTGCAAGCTGTTCAATAACTATTTCTTTGTCTTAAGCTAAAAAAAAAAAAAATGAACCACTCCAGCAGTTACTCTTGGAACATTAGTATAGCTAAATTCTAAGATATCAAGGCTTCCTAGCTATTTGGCAAAAGATAATTGTGTCCATCTAATTAATGTTTTACAACGTTTGTGTGGATTTCAAAAATGAACCACCTTTTCAGCATATCATTGTGATGGAGTCCAAACATTCTATTTACAGGGTGTGTGTGTATTTTTAAGCCCACTTAATATCTAAACTCTTCATTCTATTTCTAGTAACTTACTATATATTTTTTTTTATATATGTGAGCTTACGGTATATGTTACTAACCATACTCATGTGTGTTATTAAATATATATATTAACATGTGCCACATCCTCCCACAGAAGATGTCTGTTCAGCCTCTTAGTCATCTTGGCTTCCAGTGAAAGTTTAGGCTTGATTTGTTCTAGGATCCAATAGTTTGGCTTTTTGGCCATTCATGGGATCCTCAGCACTCTTCTCCAGCACCAATCTCAGATTTATTAATTTTCTTCCTATCTGCTTTCGTCATTGTCCATCTCTCACATCCATACATGGTAATGGCTTGGATGATTCTAACTTTAGTGTTTAGCTGTATACTTCAGGATTTTGTCTAGTGCTTTCATAGCTGCTCTTCCCATTCCTAGTCTTCTGATTTCTTGACTGCAGTCTCTGTTCTGATCAATGTTTGATCCAAGGTATGGGAAATCTTTAACTATTTCAATTTCCTCATTATCTAGGGGCCATTGCAGACTGCTAGAAATTGAGTCCACTTTAATTGCCCTGGCCCAGTGCTAGGGAATCATGGGAATTGTATTTTTTTTCCTGAGACATTGAGCCTCCTCTGTCAGAGAGCTCTGGTGCCACAATAAACTACAGTTCCCATGATTCGCAAGCACTGAGTCAGGGCAGTTACAGTGGACTCAATTTGCACTATTTCTGGCAGTCTGCAAAGGCCCTAGGTCAGTGATGGTGAACCTTTCAGGGGCCGAGTGTCCAAACTAAAAGGCCTTCTGGCACCAGGTGTTAACCAGTGCTGGGGATGGGACACCCATTCTCTGGGGGCAGAATGTCCACCCTTCAGAGGTGGGAATTCAGGGGTGGGACTTCTGGGGCAGGACGTCTTCCCCTTGCCCTCTTGGGCCTTCAGCTGCCTCTCTGGAGACCCAGGTAGAAGGAGGAACAGGCATATATGCTTGTTCCTCCTCTTTCCCCTGCACCCTCTTGGGCCTTCAGCTGGAAAGGATGAGGAACAGGTGTGCGCCTTTTCCTCCTCCTTCCCCTCTCTGGAGACAGCTGAAGGCCTGGGAAGGATGGCCAGGAAGGAGGAGGAACAAGTGAGTGCCTTTTCCTCCTCCTCCTCCTCCTCCTCCCCTCTCCAGAGGCAGCTGAAGGCCTGGGAGGGAAGAGGGAAGAGAAGGAACAGGTGTGTGTCTGTTCCTCCACTTCCCCTCCATTTTCCTGGGCCACAGCTGTCTCCGGGGAGGCAGTTGAAGGCACAGGAGAGCCTTCAACCTCCCATGCCTTTAACTGTCTCTGGAGAGGCAGTTGAAGCAACAGGAGGGCAAAAAAAGAGGAGGAGCAGGTGTGTGCCTGTTCCTCCTCTTCCCCCTCCCTCCCATCTCTACGTGTGCCCTCCAAAATGGCTTTGCATGCCAGAGATGGCACGCGTGCCAAAGGTTCACCAACATGGATCTAGCTAAATCTTCTGTGGTCATTATTTTTGTTTTCTTTATGTTTAACATCAGGCCTGCCTTTGTGTTTTCTTCTTTGACATTTTTTAGTGATTATTCCAAATCTGTGATGTGTTCTGCTAGCAGTATGGCGTTGTCTGCATATCTTAGGTTGTTGATATTCCTTCCTCCTATCTTCACTCCTTCTTCTGTTTCCAAGCCTGCTTTTCATATATTTTCTGCATACAAGTTGAGCAGACAGAGTGAAAGGATACAGCCTGACCCCTTTGCCAACTGGGAACCATTCTGTTTCTCCATATTCTGTTCTTATGGTAGTCTCTTGTCCTAAGTACAGATTCTCCATCAGTACTATACCTAAATAAATAAATAGAAATGTCAGTTTGGCATGACTTGTTTTTATGAAACCCATGCTTGTGCTTGGTAATCCCAGCATTCCTTTCTAAGTGGTCACAATTGTTCCTTCACTATTTCCCACCCATGCCATAGTAGGCATGACACCATTTATACAAACAGGAATTGCATGGATGTCTTCTTTTCCTCCAAGGAGGAAAGCACTTATAGTATGAGGGCTGATACAAACTGATGGGGGCATTAGTGGTAACTTTAAGCTTTTCCTTCCATTGTAGTCCAAATCTGCTACAGTTATTTGCTTCAAAATGATGCAAATAGCAGCAGGTGGGAAAGAGGTAAAATTTTCTAATTGTGCCACTAGAGTGCCAATCCAGAAATGGCACCCCACCAACCAGAGCTTACTTTTAAAAGGAAAAAGGGCATCCATCCATTTTTACAATCGATTTACATGAATTTAGTGGTGTCACATCTATTTTGAGGAAAGTATAAGTAGATCTAAGACGTTATGGATGGGTCTTGAAGTAATGGTTGGTGATGTTACAAATTCATTGAGTTTTCACTAATGCAGGATAAAGCAGATGTACTCTGCAGTAAAGTTTCTAAGGGGAAGGAGCATTTGATGGGGAAACCCCCTATTCTCAGCTTCCACATACAAGCAATGTTGCTGATTGCCAGACATTATTATATGGTGTCTTATTTCACGTATACCTCATGTCTTAAATGGATCATCACAAATAAAATCCCCCTTTCAAGGCATGATTAAAGCAAAGTCAGTCATCCAAAAAACATAACAACAATGTGCAGCAGTAAAACCAGTCTACTCTACAGAGGTAGAATGCAATATTTAAAAATAACCATTGTGATTATTTTAATTTCTTTATTAGGCCAACAAAAAATTAGAACATTAGTTGAGCTAGTAGTCTGTCTGTCTGTTTGCACTTTAATTCAGGTTGTTGTTAGGGTCAGCCTTGCAGTGAGTAAGAGTTAAATCTTTGCAATGTATACATATAAATGGTTCCTCCTATGTCTTTAATCTAATCATAAGCAGAAAGGTCTTGCTTAACAATGCAAAAAGATCACTTACTTAATTTTAGATGGGTGTGTAACCTTAGGCAAGCTGCTAAAATCCTAGGGAGGGAGAACTTGATATTCTGATTAACTAAAATTAACATCATAGTGCTTATTATCTCCTCTATGGATCCTGATCTGTGAAGGGAAGTGGAAATTCATATATTTATTTATAGAGTTGTCATGGAAAGCAGAATAGTGTGGTCTGTAGAATAGCATGACTCAAAAAACGGATGCTCAAGTTACTGTGAAACAAGGAAAGCATGTCACTTTTTGTGAATTTGGAATTTTATTACCAATTTATTTCCCTCACAGGTCTGTAGCAAAGATTCCCAATATAATGATAATAAAATATAGTTATTGTCACTAAGGCTGTGGTAAGGAATGGTGGAGGCAGGATCTCTTGTAATAGTAACTTTCTCTCAAGGTTGAGCATACAATCAGAGTATGAATTTATAGAAGGCCTAAAATCAGACAATGAATTTTTATTTTAGCAAAAATCAGCAGCTGGGTTGTAGGTGTATTAGGACCAGCCAAAAGTGTGCAACAAAAAGTGTGTAACCTTTCCAGTTCTCCAACATTATTTATTGACTAGGAATTGCCAAAAAAAAAAAAGATAAAAAGTAAGAAAAAGTTGATAAAATTAGGGAGATTATATTTGTACTTTTCTGTTTCTCACATGATTCCCTGGTTAATTTTTTTTGTGCTGAAGAACTCAAAAGCTTGCACAGTTCTGTGGAACTTTGACTAGTCCTAATTGTGGGGATTTTCATTGGCAGGCCATGGGGATCTCATATCTCCCTCT